TGAGTCGATCTACCTATCAAGGTGGAGCTGGAGATAGATTTGAGATCAAGAGACCCAAGGACCAGATTGAGAAACCAACTGGAGCGTTCGAAAATACTTCCATGAATCGAGCAACATACCAAGGTGGATCCGGAGAACGATATGGTATTAACCGACCGAAGGACCAGATCGGAATGCGTACGGGAATAATAGAGACAACATCCATGAACCGTGCTAGCTATCAAGGAGGAGTTGGTGAGCGGTTCAATGTTAAAAGACCAGTAGACCAGTTGGATCGGTTGAGTGGTGTGCTGGAATCTACTTCTGTGTCCAGATCAGATTACAAAGGGGGTTCAGGTGATAGATTCGAAATGAAAAAGCCGAGGGATCAAATCTCTGATTTGTTTCATTCGGAGACTGCAGAAAAAGCTGTGAGATACCGGCCAGCTCGAAATGTGCCAAGTATCAGAGTGGTATCCGGAAAAAGAAATCAGCGTATATACGAAACGACGACAACCTTATTCTAAGTTTTGTCTTTATCTTTGCATTTCTGTGATAGATTGAAGAAGGAAATAAATATTTAGAATTTTCTTTCACATGTAAATCAATAATATATTTGTATCATTATTGGTACAGTACGACCTCCTTTTCAAGGTCTTTCTCTTCTTCGCTCTTCGTGTTTCCTTCTCTTCAGCGATGAATCGATTGTCGCATACTCCAAAGTTATTGATTATGGATTATTTGATATGCTTACAGTATTAATTTTGTTTAAATCATTATCGCAGATGCGTAACTCTGTTTCGTTGTATGCCGGTTTGAGTTTGTTGCCGTTGTATGTCATATGCAATGGCATAGTCATTAGGTTGTTTGGAAAGTTGTGGAACACAGCTAGACCCACATACCTACACACCATGCATACAGTCATGCATTTGATTGAAAATATAATTTCATTCGTGCATTTATTTAATTAATATGAAATATTTTGTTATTCTATAAATGATTTCCTGATATCTTTCAATTTCTTGATTGTTGTGATGTATGACTGAAAACTCGTTTTCATCTCACTGTCTCCACCTCTTTGTTAGAAATACAACGCTTTTCTACACTTCCTTTTCTTTGTTTTACTTTTTTCCATATTTGTCCATTTCACATGGATTTCCCTCACTTTTTTGTTTTTGACCATCTCTCTCTCTCTCTCTTGTTGCATACATCATTCTCTCTGCATATTTTCTGTTTCAATCATATCCAGTCTTTTTTATGGTAATCGGCAATTAGTTTGACAGTTGACACGAAGTTTGTCGGCTTTTTTATGATGTTATGAGTGTAATTAGCATATTGCGAACTTAATGTTGTGACAGCCATCTCCATTCATGAGGACAGACGGAGGAGGAGGAGGAGGAGAGAACATGAATATACTCCTATACGAATAGAACTGTGCAAAGTACAACTTTTTTGTGCGCGAGGGTCAATGATGTTCTGAATGTATCGTCTTCTTCCATATTATCTCACAGTTGTCCTAACTTCGTGCTCGTGAGGTTCAATTGAATTATAATAATTTGTTTTGGAAAATATCAAAAGAGACCTTTACTGTATCAACAGTTGATAAATCGTTTTCAACTGATAGCCTCATATTCCGTATTTCATTTGCGTGAAAGTTGGTAGTGAGGTTGAGAGGAAGTTAATCCTGACTGTTACTTCTTCCATATATCACCTTCAATCTATTGTTATGTTAATATATTCATCTATTGATTTATTCTTCTTCTACTTTTTTTTTGATGATTCGAAAGGGAGTTTGTTCAAGTTCAGTCATCAAGGACGTTTCTGTCTGTTTTCAATCGCTCACAGCTCATCTGAATTTCTCATTTTATCCATTTAATTGATTATATACAAGTATCATCATATATACATGTTTCAGATGCTTTAACATCAACCTCGTACTATCCCTGTCTTTGACATTGGGAATTTAAACTTATTCATTCTGGATTTCCGTCACCACATCCCATTTATCCACAATGATACTACCTCTATACAAAACTCGACGTAAAACACGAAAAATTCTGTTTTACTCTCTCTTCGTACTTGGATTTCTATTGCTCTGGTGTGTTCTAACTATTCTCATCTTATATCTTCAAGATACGGTAAGCTTGCTCGTAAATATGAAAAAATAAATCAAAATATCGTTTTAAAGCTATTCACTTCACCCATTTCTCTACCAACACGAATCGGACCAAAACATGAAGAGACCTTCAATGGTCGTGGTGTTCAAGTAGTTGTCGGACATTACAATGGCAATCTACCAGCAGAAAAACTGAGAAATATATCTGAAGGTCTTTTATTTAACTCTTGAAAATGAAAATGAACAAGAAAAACCAATCGGAAATTGCTTGAATTACATTGTATTCCTGAAAAATTCTTTTTGCAGAAGATTTGAACGCCAACAACTACAATCCGATTGATGGCTGGGGTGAAGATGGAAGTCCAGTTGAACTATCGAAGCAAGAACAGATTCTCGCTCAAGAAATTTTTCCGATCAATCAGGTTTGTTCACCATATTCTTAGAAGGAGTATAGGGTGAGATTTACAAAATTGAAACTCTGTCTCTCTCTTTTTCTCTTTTTTCAAGAAAAAAAGAAGCATTAACAACGTTGACAATGATATTTATGACAGTTTGTTCAAGTTTGTCTCTAAACGGATAGACTTGAAGACGATTGGAAGTTTCAAGACGAGATACGGATTATCTCAAAGAATTTTTTGGTCTTTCCTTTTCATTATTTGTTTCCAACAACTTGAATGAAATTCTCTTTTTTCTGCATTTCTCTCTCTCTCTCTGAATTTTTCAAGCTCAACGTCTTGCTCTCTGTTTCTCTTCACCTCAACCTTCTCCAATTCCTTCTCTCTCTCTCTCTATCTCTCTCTCTCTCTCCCAATCTTAGGGCGAAAAAAAAGATGATGATCAAGAAAAAGACAGAAAAAAAGGATTTGTGGTCAGATGGCGACAAGTTTTGACGGATTTTTCTTTTTTCTGTTCATCTTAAAGGGTCAACTAGTAAAGGCTTCTCATACAATTCAACAGCCTCTTACTTCTTTTTCCTTTTTTTTCCTTTCTTCTCTTCTATTTTGACCATCAATCATCTCAAAATAAAATTTTTATCTTTCAGTTCAATCTTTACATAAGTGATCGTATATCCGTCAACAGATCCATTCCTGATATTCGAAAACCGTCTTGCAGGGAGAAATCGTACGAAGGTAGTGGAAGAAGGAGAAAAAAAGTTTTTTTTTCTCCAAATTAAATGAGATTTAAACAAATAGATTGGTTTTGTAGATCCTTCTGAATTGCCAAACACTTCTATTATCATAGTTTACCACAATGAAGCATTCTCGACGTTGCTTCGGACCGTATGGAGCATAATCAATCGATCACCTCATCAATTGGTTCACCAAATCATATTGGTGGATGATTTCTCTAATCGAAGTAACATCTTTTAATTTTTATTGACTTTTTCAACAACAAAAACCTTTTTTTTAGCTTTTCTTCGTAAAGATCTCGATGATGCTGTTCGTTTGATGCCTGTTCCCGTGAAGATTGTTCGATCGAAGGAACGAGTTGGGTTGATTCGAGCTCGCATGATGGGAGCTCAGGTTCGTTCATTCTCTGAGAACCAATCACATTGAAATGATTCGCTTTAAAGGAATCTACCGGAGACGTCTTGACATTCCTAGATTCTCATTGTGAATGTACCATTGGCTGGCTTGAACCTTTACTCAGTCGAATTAAAGCTGACAGGTTCATAGATGACTTCTCAACAAGGTTAAAATAATGTTTTTATTTCTTTAAGAAAAAACGTCGTTTGTCCGGTTATTGATGTTATCAACGACCATACTTTCCAATATCAGAAGGGAATCGAATTGTTTCGTGGAGGTTTCAATTGGAATATGCAGTTTCGGTTTGATTTAGATGATGATATTGCATTAGATAGTTTTGAAACTTCAGATGGTATTCAATGCCATCGTCTATGGCGAAAGCTCGTCTCAAAGATCCTACTGCTCCAATCGAGTAAATATTTTATTTATAACGAGTGAAATTGAAAAATGATTTCTTTAGAAGTCCCACAATGGCTGGCGGTTTGTTTTCTATTGATCGATTATACTTCGAAGAGCTCGGTGCATACGATCCTGGAATGGATATTTGGGGTGGCGAAAATCTGGAAATATCATTTCGAGTAAGAAATCTTCATCCTTATCCGCGAGAGAGTAAGAGAGAGAGAGAGAGAAAGAGAGGGGTATACGGAAGGAAGAAGAGAGTTCCATAAAAAGTTGTTTGTTTTGGTCTTTCGTTATCATTTGCAAAAATTTCACGTACGTCAGCAAGTTTTCCACGTATTCACGTGAAAACACATTCATTTCATAATCTGATGCGCAAGTGAAACGGTTGTTGTATTTTCATTTTTGTTCAGAAATAGTGTTTGAAATCAAATATTATATACATTTATATGTATATAGTTATTCACGTGATGAGAAAGTAAGTGATGTTCACACCATTCGTTTGAAGCACGTGATGGTTGATTAACCGGTCTATGTTGTCTCAAAAATTCTTTTTTTTAAACAATTTTTAATGTTTTATGCTGATTGGTAACCGGTTTATTCATTTACTATATAACCCACGTAGAATACTTTTGACTTTTCTCTGTTCAAATCCCTTTCCAAATCTAGTCTATCAATGTGATTTTTGTATTAAAAAAAAGAGAGAAAACAAAGTAAAATATACTGGAAAACACACACACACTCTATTTGTAGATTTGGCAATGTGGCGGTCGCGTTGAGATTCTCCCATGTTCTCACGTTGGTCACATCTTCCGCAAAACTTCTCCACATGACTTTCCTGGTAAAAGCAGTGGCAAAGTGTTGAACGGCAATTTATTGAGGTTTTTAATCAAATAAAAAAACGAATTCCTATCTTTAATGCTATGATTATAGAGCAGCTGAAGTATGGATGGACGATTGGAAACACATGTTCTATAAACTATCACCACGTATCGTTTATAGTATCTGATCTTTGAATAAGGAAATTGCAATTACAGAGGCTGTAAGTATGCGCAAGGAAGTTGATGTCAGTGATCGAATTGAATTGCGAAAACGTTTGAGGTAAGTTCTTTCTTTGATCGTGCCCCTTTTTCCTGATAAAACCCTTTTTTTTTATCAAATTTAAAACATTGATAATGAATGATAAAGCTATTGGCAACATTTGAGTGCATGAACTTGAAATACATTTCAGATGTAAAAACTTTCGGTGGTATCTGAACAACATCTTCACGGACCATTTCTATCCAACTCCAGGAGATTTCTTTGGAAGGGTATGTTGTTGTTGATAGCATAACTATCGAATATAGTGTGATAGGCATAGTTTGCATAAATTCTTTCAGATAGAAAACTCTCAGCTAGGTAGAAATAATTCTAAAAATTGCTTATCGTGGTCAGTTGATGCATCAACGGGCCTACGTAAAGCAAACTACTTTGAATGCCAAAACCATGATTTTGATCGAAACCAGGTTCGGATACGTACAATTGTTTCTTAAGATATTTTTGTTTTTGTTAAACATAATTTAAATCTCTGACCATAGCAAAAGTCAAAAGAAAACTCTGTACGTAGCCGAAAGTTCATTTTATAAATATGATTTTTCGAAATATCACTAAAGACATACGTACCGTGTTTTCAGATTCATGATGATAATATTTGTCTAATAAGTCGCCCTGGTGATGCAGGCAATGTTAAGCAGCATAAGCTTACACTTGGCAAATGCACACTAGGCTATGATTTATGGCAGGTAATTATTTGATTAAATGAATAAAAATAATTTTATCACTTTTTTTTATTATTGTCTCTTCAATCATGACTTTCAGTTTTGGATTTTCACTAAAGATGGTCGATTACGGTCAGATGAACACTTGTGCTTGTCTGCAACACAAATTACTCACACGAATTCACAATGGATGGTTCAGCTGAAAGAATGTGCTGGCTATGAGGAAGAGTATTGGTCCTATAATAGTAGAGTAAGTGTTTTTATCAAAGAATTATCTAGTGCACAGCGAGATAAACCGCTCTGTTCAAAGTTTGAAGTGGTAATGGCTGTCTGAAGTCATGTCACGTCATAACATTATTTGTCCACGTAGTTCTTTTATGCTAATTTGTTTTGCAGGATAACACGTTTGTACAGAAGAAGAGTGGACTATGCTTAACCAGACCTCCAATTCAATCTCTAACCGACATAAACTTGCCGTTACTTCTCAAATGTGGGATGTCATCACAGGTAAGACTTGATCAGTCAAAACATCCAATGAATCTCTTTCATCTAGCATTGGGAAATGAAAAGTGTTGCATGGATCCCGAAAAAAGCTTTTTAAATATTTTGTTGAACTGATAGATGCCTTAACTAAGCTATAATAACATTTAAAATATCTTTAAAAACTTATTACCAAAAAGCATTAACATTTGCCATTACAATAAGAACTTTAATATTCCTGCCATGGCTTGTCATGTTTTTTAAAATTTGCATAATCAATCTATTTACTATTTATGTGTATTAAGCCCTTAACTATGTCTTTATCAAAGTTAGAGACAGTTTACATATCTCGACAAAGCTGTCAAATAGCTTTTGGTCATATATCTTCTGTGATACCTCTCTCTTTTGAAATTTTTTTTTCTTTTTTTTTAACAATGTTGACATGAAATGTGTTGTAACCTGCTCTAGATCTACAGACCATTCATTTGCATCTTACTCTCTCTATCTCTCTATCTCTCTCTCTCGCAATATATATATCCTTATATAATGTATTTATTTCTAAGCATAACTTATTATTTGAACGTGCCAAAGGTGTAGCAGCAGGCTACAAACAGAAATTGCTTTATTCTGATGCCAACATTACATATATATACATATATATGTCTGATTATTATATTATTTATCTGTTTTTTGAAGTCAATAAAGGGTTGTTGAACGATAACTTAGCTGATTCATCATTAACATCTTCCATCATCTGATTCACATTTGTTACACCACTCCCACAATACCATTATCTTACTTACTTAATGCAAACAGTGTATCCTGAAGAGTGCTTCTATGATCGCCGAATAGAATGAGCGTCTTGAGCGTTCTCATCAATCCAACCTAAATTTAGATTTTTTTATATTTTTATTGAAAATATTTTTTATTTCATACTTTCTATTTTCTTATCTAAAATCATTTCTATCAGAATCTTCTCGGTGTCATCAGCTGATAAGCCAATTTCAGAGCCGATTTTGTTAAGGTCAATCTCTGTATATGCCTTGATTACATCAAGTATTTTCTTCAACCAAAAAAACATTTGAAAGACAATCGAATGTAAACAAACGGACGAAACCATTTCTATCATTCGTTTTTCGAAATTTCTCAAATTAAATGATATTGGAATGGAGAAACTGGCACTGTTAACAAGTTCTTCGAGACACTCAAACGACTTCACGTAAAGACATTTGCGAAACTAAAACCTTTCTGAGTTCATTTACAGATCCAGATTGACAAGCATAAGCCAGCTGTTTCACAGCAAGAAGAAGTTCCTTTTTGGCATTTTTCCAATTTCTGGTAAATGAAATGTTCAATAGATATTTTATAACATTTGTAGAAACTTAATATAGAAACATCAGCAAGGTTGTTCGTCAAAATTTGAAAAGCAGACGCTCAAATGAATTTTGAAAACAAACCAACGAATTTTGGATAGACACATGAGGATGAAGAACATCAATGCGTTCTCTTCCCATATGAGTTTCTTGAAGTTCTTTTAAGCTTCACAGAAATAATAGAATGAAGTACGGAGGTCATCTTGAGTATGCACTGAGTAGATATCTGTAGAATAATTTGCACTTAATTTTGAACTTGGAAAAATTATAAATTAATCAAAGAAGAATATCACTGAGATAGCATGAAGTACGGGGATCATCTTGGGTATGTCCTAAGTAGAAATCTACAAATCACTGGTCAAGGCATCGATTTGTGGTATGAAAAAAACATTATAAAGAAATACGGGGAACATCTTGACTATATCCTAAGTAGAAATTTGGATAACGCTTGATATAACATATAGAATTGATGAAAATTATAAATTGATCAAAAAAAAGTTTCGCTGATTTGAGATAGCATGAAGTACGGGGATCATCTTATCTATTGCCTGAGTAGAAATCTACATAAGACGGAAAATGGACTTGTCCTATAAAGTATAAATTAGACATCAATGCGTTCTCTTCCCTTATGAGTTCCTTGAAGTTCTTATAAACTTGACAGATACAGTACCATGAAATACGGGGATCATTTTGAGTATATTCTGAGTAGAGATTTGTTAAACACATAAGTTTCATGAAGTATCGATAAAAATTATAAATTCATCAAAGAAGAATATCACTGATTGGAGATAGAACGAAATACGGGGAACATCTTGGGTATGTCCTGAGTAGAAATCTACAAGTCACTTCCATCTTAACATAAAAGGGTTTTAAATTATAAGTTAATCGGAGAAGAATATTGCTGATTGGAGATAGAATGAAATACGGGGAACATCTTGGCTATCTCCTGAGTAGAAATCTACAAATCACTCGTCAGAGTTTGTAAATGTTGTATAAACTATAAATTAGACATCAATGCGTTCTCTTCCCATATGAGTTTCTTGAAGTTCTTATAAGCTTCACAGAAATAGTAGAACGAAATACGGGGAATATCTTGAGTATAGCCTAAGTAGAAATTTGGATAATGGTTGAGTTTTTTTAAAGAATCGTTACAAATTATAAATTCATCAAAGAAGAATATCACTGAGATAGCATGAAGTACGGGGAACATCTTGGGTATGTGCTGAGTAGAAATCTATAAAACTGATTTCGTTCCACATGCAACGGTTTTAATTATAAGTTAATCGGAGAAGAAACTTGCTGATTGAAAGAAATCTGTAAATAACTATTAATGTGTTGTCTTTCATTCGAAATTTCTTTTCATGTAATAGTTCACGCAATAACTTCAATTCTAATTCTCTTACTAAGCAGAAGTAGCTTCTATCGGTAGCCCAGACAATACATTTTTTTAGAAAATCAGACGGGAACACTTGTAATCAGATCTTTCTTCTCATAACTGCCTACTCTGATAGTTCCTCGTTACGAAGAGGTTTAGCAGCATTTTCATTTTCTTTCCACCTCTGACTTTGTTAATTCTTGCGAAGAATGCACATATTTCTGCAACCCAAGTTTTAACTCTGGAAGTTATCAGTTATGTCAGCAACGAGCACTTGAATGAACCATCGATATTGATCTGTTGGTCATATTCAAAAAATCTTTTTGCGATTCCTAAAATTTCTTTTTCCAACTTTTTCAGACTCCCTTAATTTGGTGTGGATTGGGCATCTCTCTCTCTAAGAAATGACGTTTTTGCAGTAGGAATTGAGACAGTCAAAATCCAAATCCCTTAGTCTGCCCAATTCCTTTACTGAATCATCCATTACCAGGATCGACCAGTTCCAAGTAGAATAGTGTTAAAAATGGTTTTGGTAGTTTTCAGGCGGAAACTAACTTCTTTGACTCTATTTGCATAGTTAAACGATTTTTAGGTGCGTTCACCAAACTGTCAATCTCATCTTAATGCTCATCAGAATGATCTGTTCAAACTGAAAAATAAATAGAAAATCCGTTCGCTGCTGTATTTCTATTGGTTTTTTGTCAAAAAATAATTTCATTCAACTCCAGGATAGCACAATTCGAAAGCAGGTTCTCAGGATTTGACCGTTCCAGTTCTTTCTAATTGATCATGTCCGAAGAATCTATTTAGCCTCTGACCTGACGAGCCTGCTTGAGCAAACTATTCAGCTGTCAAAAGTTATATTTGAGATAAAGAAAACACCATAAGATATGACGAGATAGAAAGAAATCAAGTGTCTTGTTCCATTTAAGTCATTCGAATTGGATGAAGCTTGTTCTCTTCGCTTGAAATCATTCTGTTAGGTGAAGAAATCGCTTGACTGAAAGTTTCAAAACGTTTTTATATTCTTCTTAAGTTATGTTTTTTAACATTGGCTTGTTCCTCTCTATATCATATTCATTATGTTATGCTCAAATTGTTGAAAGGGAACGCTTACAGCATGATTTGGCTAAGTTTCTATCAACTCCAAGGTGAGCGCTCATATTTTGGTTGTTCATTGGACATACTTTAAGATATAATGAAACTGAGAAGAGTCTAGCTAGAGCAGCAATACGGAATGCTTTGGACGGCATAGGACTATACACTTTCACACACAGTTTTCTAAGCAATGAATCAGTTAGATCAACTCAAATCACTCACACTTTCTAATATCTGCGTATCTCAGAACGAAATGGGAGTTAACGTCATTTCTATTCAGCGAGGTCCGTACTTCGCTACAGACAATGACACAGTTGTAGTCGTTTGTGCCAATTATGACACTAAAGAAGATGTTGCTGGTAAGATTCGCTCTCTAATTCTCTTGAAATCTGTTATCTAGGAGTCGATGACAATGGCTCAGGTGTTGCAGCCACATTGGAAATCGCCAGAGCCATGGCGACATTTGACAGATTGTATGCTCGTCAAAGTACCATAATGTATGTGTTTGTGGATAGGAAACATGAGGCAAATCTCAATTGTTTGTCATATCTTTGAACAACTTATTTCAGTCGTTCTCTGGAAGCCATGAATTCGTTGAGGATGTCTTACTTCCTTTCGTTAAAAGAACAAACGCTACAATCACTTCCGTGATAGTGTTAGACGGCATCATGCATTTTGATCCTTTTCCCTCAACACAAGGAACACCAAGAGGATTCGAAGAGGTATTTTATGAATTTATTCAAAAAACTCAATGGAACCTCGCAGACATTCCCTGGTCCAGCTCAGCAACTACACGAGCACATGCATATGGGCGATTTTATTCAAACAGTCGGTCGAGATTCAATCGATGACGAACTTGTTCAAAGGTATTTTTTCTTTGTTATACACAAATATCTGAATGACACATATTTTCAGCTTCACTTCTGCTTTTTCAAAAACGGCGGCTCGTTTGAAGAACGATTGGACATTTCATCCATGGGTGCTTTCCATTACCTTAAACTTGGATGAGATAACAACAATGAATTCTCTGTACAGGTTGAGATCAAACCCTCTCTTTAATTTCATTTTTTTCGTCTCATAGATTACAACCATATCTATTTTCTGATCACTCATCTTTCTACTTCCATTCACGGAATGAAACTATTCCGACACTGTACGTTACGGATACATGTGAGCATCTATCACCCTGTTGAACAACACCAATACTCCCTTTCAGTAAATTATCGCGGAGTCAAGCAGTACTGTAACTATTGTGACACACTTTATATGATAACAGAACCTAATATGAGGTTCCTGACTCTTATAACAGACACTTTGATTCGGACTGTTGCCCACCTAAGTCAATCAGATGGTAAACTCATTTCCAAAAAACCGTAACAGACTTCTTTTCTTTTAGCGTTAGCTGTGTTGGATGAAATACAAACTCCACACTATACTTGAGAAGATTAAGCCTATCTTCTGTTTGTGTATATACAGTTATATATTGAGAGTAAATTATATTAATTTATAACAAAAATAAACCTTAATCACTTCTCCCACTACTTATCGATGAGGGCACACAAGCAACAACATTGTCACGTCGAATCATCACGTGATTCTCATTTCTGATGGAAATCACCGAGAGTTCGGTCGAAGTCGAGAGAGTGGATAAGTTCTTGTCTGCTGACGAAATTTCGTCATTGTCCAAGAAAATTCCGAGAACTCCACCAACTCCTAAATCAGCTAGGAGTGTAAGAACACCTGTGGATGGGGTGAAACTAGCATTTGTAAACCACTTTTTTCTTGGCGGATGGTTATTTAAATTATTCAGGACGATTTCATTTCTATTCTCTATCAATCACATGGACGAAGTTACGATGAGCAAGTTAGAAAGTTTGAATCGAGCACAGGATTGAAGCGTGAACAGGTTGGAGTACTCGGACCTAAAACAGGGAGAGAGATTGTTTAAGGGAGTATACTGCTTCGGTTTCTTATTAGCAATTTATCTTATAATGGGAAGAAGTGCTGAATTCGTTTGCAATATTATTGGCTATGCTTTTCCTGCGTATAAGAGCGTCCAGGTTTGCAACTTATAGTAATGACGTCCTGAATTCATCCTAAACAGGCTGTTCGATCAAATACAACTGATGATGATACTCACTGGTTGATTTACTGGATTGTTTTCGCAACTTTCTCCATAGTTGACTTTTTTGCTCAATCAGTCTGTAGTTGGTTTCCACCATATTGGTTGTTGAAAGCAGCCTTTCTGGTGTATCTCTACCTTCCACAAACAGAAGGAGCAATCCATGTTTATGAGAAAGTCATCGACCCATTGTACAATAGTATTGACAAGTACATTCAAAAAAAAATTTACAGTAGCATAAAAATAAATTAAAAGTCTTTTGAGATTATAAAGGTTTGAGTTTTTTGAGCTCTTCATATCGTTGTAAAGCCTCTTTCACATTCCAACTTAAATCCTGCAAAGGTTTAGTTTTTGTGAGAACAGCTAAACCGATAGCGTACTTGTAGTTTTTTCAGATCAAAATTGAACTGGAAGTTTTTGGCTTTCGCTTCATCAGTACACGTTGTGTTGAAATTCAAAGTAGCACAAGGTTTACCGATATTCATCAAAATAGGGGACTGAAAAGGTTGCTTACGTTTCAAATGTTTTTGAACGCGTTCCACCCACCTCCATCACTTTACCAACGGTCCAATTTAAGTCGACAACTTCGGGATAATCCCAGCCAATGATGTCCATATTTGCTCGTAAAGCATCTCTCTTTTCCTTGAATTCAGCATATTATAGAGTTGACAGGAGAACAGTCAAAGTTACCACGAATACTCCGTGAAAAAGGTCTGCTACTTCAGGACTCTCTATGAGGTTCTGGATTTGAGCTCTGGACAAATCCTGTTGGCAAATATCAACAAGAATCCCACAAATAATGAAATCGGTAGTTTCTTGCAATTTGGTTTCTTCTTGGCCTTAAAAGGCAGTCTGTTTATCAATACTTCAATAATTCACCAACGCTCTACTTCGCCTGCTAAGAAACTAGCCAATTCTGTTAGTTTTGTCTTGTTGAGATCGCTTACGGGGACATCTTTTAACTGTTTATAAATAGGATTTATCATTTTACTTAGAAATATGATGAATTTTGAATAAAACGCTCTATAAGCAGAACGTACGCAGCGACGTTCTGTTTAGTTCAACTGTAAAGTACACGGAAGTTTCCACGACCCATTTATAAATAAACACAACACTCTGGTTATGCCATTATGAGAGCAATGTGGGTCAATTATGGACTACGATTAATTGGAAAACATTGCTATGTCAATTCGCTGAGAGCGTGATGAAGTTTTTGAACATCTCCTCAAGCTTCAAGAACCTACCTTTGATGTTATGTTTGCAACGTGGCAATTCATTCATCTTTTGATAACTTAGCGATGAGGTTGGTCGGAATCTTAGCTCTCGTGGGATATGCCTGGCGGTGTAACGGAAAAGTTAACAAAGGCCGCTTGGTTAGTGAGAATAAGAGGATCATTTGAAAGATCATGAATTCAGGTGTCGTACATGAAAAGCTTGGACAGCAGTTTTGGTAACTTCCATGGATATCTCCTCAGTTTTCCTCCAATTAACTAACAGATTTGTGGCAATTCACGAAAGTCATGCTCGTTCTGCTCATCATCTCTACGTTCTTGCATTTCATCAATTTCGCTTTGATGATCTGGGTTGGTAGGAAAGAGAAGAAGAAAATTGCTAAAGTAAGTCGTTTCTAAGAATACTTTTCTATTTAAAGTCTTTAAGATAGTTGAACAAACGGCCCGAGAAATCTCTAGGAGATTGAAATTACAAGCAGTGCCCTCAGAACGCATTGGATCACAGAGTATCATGATGGAATCAAATGAAGAAACGACCGATTTCAATTCAACTTAGCTTGCAATTATGGTTTGATCTACAACTTTTCATTATTCACACCATGTTCCAGTGTTTGCAGTTGGATGATTGAAAAATATTGGATGGCTAGATTACGATTTTGGCAGAATATTGGAAATCCGGTCCGTATCGCTCGGGTAACTTGTTTCTCGTTTTCAATATTTTTTTCCTATCTGTATTACCTAATAGATAATGTAACTTTGTCCTCATAATGTTTAGTTGTTATATCTCCCTCTGCGTCATTCTGGTCTTTCGGCTTCACAGGCTTTTCGTTGAACTGTTTTTCTTTTATTTATTCTCTCTCCGTCCTTTTCCATCATTTCAGACATATGTTTTCTACCTTTTATAGCTTTCTTTTGGACCAAAAAAGTAAATATGAACTGTAGTGAATCACTTTCATTCAACTACTTGACAACAGCGTATTATTCATGTCTTTTATGGAAATTTTTGTATCCCAGAACTCAGTTTAAACTTGAAAAAAATCTGATAGCTATTGACGTTCAACATAGGATGTCATGCGATTCAACTCGCCACACGACGAGAAAGTCTTTTTGAAAAACTTTTAATGCGACCAGTTGTAGTCGGCATGATTCTAGTCAATTGGAAAAGAGGTAGATTCTATTGCTGCCTATGATTCAGTCTGAAATCTCATCGTCTGGTGATTGATATTCTCATTTTGTTCTTTTTTCCTGAACCGTTTCCCCATTCTGCTCTACAGAAGTATATTGCAGATGATTTCCTTGGCTTCCTTAATTGTTCTGAGTACCGTTGCCGTAGTTCAATCAACGCCGTCTGTATGGGCTTGTCCTTTCGTACCCGTCGGACCAATGGTTCAGCCATTTGACATGAGGATGGGGGAAGAGTGAGTTTCGATAATGAATAACTATTATGTGTGATATACGCTTCTGCGTTGAATGACTTCGTGAGATCAAATTATGAATGCAACCCCTCTCTATTATAATTTCTTTATACTGAACGTCTTATGACGTAGTATTACGTGGATTAAGCGAATGTTTCGAAGAGTGACACAAATAAAATAGTATTATTGTCAATTTGACATTTCATTTCTTTATAGTTGCCCGTCGGATTCTTTTGTACACTATTATTCATGCTGCGATGATAATCCATTCCAATGCTGCTTTCATTTTGAAACTTGGGCAATGTAAGTTCTAAATTAAATTTCGTTGTGGAAGTTTCCAACTATTTCAGAGTTATATTTTCCATCATTGTGCTCAGTGGGGTTGCTGCTGGACTGTTCTTTGCTGGAAGACTGCTTCTCCGTCAGAATTAACATTTATTTCTATAATTTTCGCTTTTTTTTTCTAAGAAAATCAATTTCTCACTCTACTCATATGAATATTGAATTTATTTAGCATTAATTATGACTTGAATTGTAAATATTAAAGCTTTTAAACAGATTACTTTTTTAATTCATTAAATATTTCGAACTCAGTTTTTCTTTCAATTTTACGAATAACTCTGCAGCAGTTGCGGGCTCCGCCCATTTTTCCGTGTGCTCACGCAACAAGACTACATGTTAGTGTTTATAGTTATTTTTAGATTATTAACTTAATTTTATGCAACAACTGAGCATCTCATGATTTCAGTTGTAGCTTGTAGTGTAGATGTTCTTTTTGAATAGCATGCTGCTTCCTGTGTTTTTTCGACTTTCCTTTGAGTTACCTACCTAGTTCACTTCGTTTTTCCTTGACCTCTATAAAAATGCGAGGAGGCTGTATCCTTATTCTGCTCATATCAGATATATGTAGAGAAAGTAAGGATGTTTTAGATATTAAGTTTTAAATGCCTGACGGACCACAGCAGATGCAGCCATCGTCACTAGTTGCTGCTTTGAGCACACCTTCTGTAAGCTTTACCGATTTTCCTTTTTTCACTGCATGTAGCTTATATTTGTGCATCATGTTTATAACTGCTTCAATTCTTAACGTCTGTCAGCTCGTTACTCGTATTTTAAAGTTTTACATGTACTAATAACCTTAACAGGTGGTGGAAGAATAAGTTGTTCGATTCCTTCACAAATGCATTCCCAACGTATGTCTTATAACGGATGGTACTCATCAAATGTAACTTTTTTTCCTTTTTAATACATTTTGTCCATTGTGCCAACGACGATTTACATGTCTTCATTGTTTTGCATGGTTTTCAATGTTAAGAACAAAATTAGATCGAAGTTTTGTGTGAGGGCAGACTGTAAGACAGTCATACGTTCTTACAGTGTGCTCGCGCGGGGGGAAACTTGCCATAGTACCTGTCCACTTATTAAAAGTTTATTTTACAGCAAGCTATGCAACATTCGCAACAGCAGCAACAACAACAACAACAACAACAACAGCAGCAACATCAACAGCAGCCAGTACAAGGACATCAGCCGATTCAGCAAATGCATCTCTCACAACAGCAACAACACCATCCGCACCAACAGCATCCACAACAACATTCTCAACCACATCCTCAGCCGCATGCTCAACAGCATCCTCAACATGGTCAGCAGCATGGTCAGCAACATGGTCAACAACATGGTCAGCAACATCAAGTTGGTCCTCAGTCCTCTCAGCACCCTCAACACGTGCAACATGCACAACATCAACAAATTCATCCTCAACATCAACATCATCCTCAAAATCAAACCCCGACTCAACAAAACCATGACAACTACCAACAAGTCCAGAACAGTAATGGACCAACACCTGGTGTCGGAGGTCCTATTAGAGTGCAGCCGCAAAGTATGCTTCTTCTTAATTTCTTTATCAATTTTTCGATTCAGTTCGATTAGTTCGTCAAGCTATCACACCATACCCTCAGGGAAGCACCCCTCATTCGGGTCAACAGCATATGAGACCAATAACAATTCAGCAACCTAATCAAGGGCAACAGTTCCAATCACAGTTCCCTCCTCAGGTTCAACTATTATTTCTTCATTCTTCATTCTCTTTTCTGTATTAAGGTTGTGGTTAGAAACATTGCTAGCGTTCAAAATAATGGTCCACCCCCTCCTCAGAATCATCCAGCTCCCGCTCCTCCTGCACCAGCTACAAATTTCGTGAGTACTTCTTTCAAATTCATTGCATTCATGATACTCACTTCAGCCCAATCAATCGATTCAAAACAGTAGTATACATCCTCATCCTCAAGGGACCGTGGTTCACCTTAATATGACTGCTGGCGCTTTGATTGATAAGGTTTGTTGCTTCTGCAGCGTTTTCAATGAGCAGTTCTTGTTTACAGGTTAAACTTGATGATCTCGTGCATCAAATTGATCCATCCACTGTCTTAGAGGACAATGTGAAAGATGCATTAGTGGAGTATGCTGATGAGTTTGTTAACGAGGTTTTTCAAGCCTTGCACATAATGCTTACCAGTGTTTTCTTTACAGATTATTGATAAAGTTTGTCGCTTAGTTCAACATAGAGGGAATAAGCGTTTAGAAACGAGAGATGTAGAAATGGTTCTTAGTATGGTATTCAATTTGCCGTCGGTAAGAATTTCTGTAATATATTGACTATTTCATCTTCTGCTTCAGGTTCCTCGCGTTCATGTGTTCGGAGCTCCTCCTACCGTTTTGCCTAAGTTAGATGGTTACCCTGCTACTGATGCTCATAAGCAACGATTAGCTTTAATAAGAAAACAGTTGAAGAAAGCTTAGATGTTTTTCCAAATTGATCCTCACAAAACTCTTCGGGTTTGTCTGCTACACTCAGATACATCATAACTATATTTTGTTGTATAAATTTATTGATTTTAATTATAAAATAATCGTAATTGTCTTTTACTCATACACACATCGGCTCTTCTCCGATTTCTGATACCTTTTCTGTTTGTTTATTTCTCGCTAACTTCTCATTTTCTTAGAAGAATCACTGAAGGAATGATTGAGCCAAGCAAGTCTTCTAGGTAAAAGCTGGTACGTTGTTTTCTGTTCCTTACCATTTTCAAATTATTATTTTTCAGTTCAATGTTGTTCTCGTCAGTCTTGGCGATATTCCTCATCTCGTGGTCCTCGCTCTTTCTTCTTGACTATGTTTTACGCGTAAAAGGTTGCATTCCGTATATATCTTTCGCTGAGAAATATGGTCTCGAAGTATCTCCATTCCAAGTAACTGAGTGTTTGATTTACAAGTTATAGTAATCTATTCTTAGATCCGGTTGTACACTACATGTAATGACAATGAAGAAACTTTATTGCCCAAGAAGAAAACTCCTTCGCTCCGAAGAACTTTAGCTTCCATTTGGTTTGCGATCGGAGCTTTAGTTTCCGTCGTTTGTATAGTTGCAATCACAGGGTACCTGGCCAGGCTTCTTTACATTGGTAAATTTGAGACTTTTTTCGATTTCTATGTGTCTTGTTTTAGAAACTCTTAAGTTTGGAGCAACTCGACCTCATGTAGCACCCTACCGAGCGATACCTGTAACGACTACAGTTGTACCTGTCGTGACTGAGAATATCGATGATCTACCTGTTCAAGCTGTCGAAGATTATGATATTCTTGACGGCAGTAGTAGAGAAAATGAAGGTTGGTAGTTTAAACCGGAAATAACTAACATCAAGCTGTTAGGATTGGTACCAATTGTTCCCGGAGTTAACTTGCCTTGGAGTCATATGCCTTTGTTCATGTTCGTGTTAATAGTTTCTGCCATTTTTCATGAAGTACGTGATCATCCGGTATTCCTCTGACTTAATTTGTTGTTTAGCTTGGACATGCTTGGGCTGCAAGAAACAAAGACGTGAAAGTCAATGGGTTTGGAGTGTTCGTGTTTGCCCTATATCCTGGGGCTTTCACTGATATTGAAGCAGATTCATTGAGTTCGTTAACATAACTGAATCTATTTTCTGATGTTATTCTTTTCAGAGAGAGCATCAACATTCTCACGCCTTGCTATATTCGGAGGTGGAATTTGGCACAACATAATCTTAGCAATAGTAGCCTACCTGCTATTCTGTGCGACTCCTTACGTACTTTTCCCTTTGTTTGCTGACGGAAATGGTGTCACTGTCACAGGTATGTCACTTTTATTTGAAAAAAGAAAAGAGTCATTTGAAGGTGTTGATATGCGGTCAGGTCTTCACGGGAGTGCCGGTTTATCGCCTGGTTTCATTGTTACTCATATCGACGATTGTCAAGTTCACGATGTAAAAAGTTGGAGAGAATGTGTAAGGCTACTGGAACACCAGAGAAATGGACGTTGTGTTGAGACGGAGACTTTAGAACACGCTAGAAGTCATGATGTAGTAATTTCTCAAAAAAAATGAACACAAAGAACAATTTTTCAGACATCGACGACTGAAGATGAGATTCAATGTTGTGATAGCTTCGAGAATATTACTCATGCTCACATGTGCTTTGAGTCCAGCGTTCAAATTGTTCTTCATGACAAGAGCACTATGAGTCCTAGTCTAAAAAAGGTTTTACGCTTGGGGCCAAATATAGTTAGTTGATATTCTCACTGTTAGACTCATCATAAATTTCAGACGATTGAAGAGATTGTGAATGAGAGGAGGGAGTTTGCGCGTCAGTTCAGTTGCATGTCAGCTAGATTGATGACCGATTATCCACTCTGTAACTCTTCTGTGACTTGTGATCAGGTTAGATACATTCTAAAGCTTGTCTATTTTTTTGTTTATAGTCAGAGAAGTCAATGACATGTGCTTATCCTGCATTATACAATGGCACGCAGTTATCCAGGATTACCGTGAAGAATAGTTTTAGGCCTGTTCTTTATGTTGGAAACTTGGATGAGGTTTGGTTATGCGGAACTTCCAATAACATTTTTTCTATTCAGTTAATATCTTTTGTGTCCATACACCCACTGGTCTCTAGATTTGCTAACGTACCTCACTGGGTCGCCACTACCGTAGAAATAATCCCTAAAGTAAGGAATCTTAATGGAAGTCTCTTCTCATTACGCGTTTTAGTACTTCTTCACTCTTTCTGTAGCCTTAGCTGCTTTGAACGCAGTTCCTTGTTATGCCTTAGATGGACAATTTCTAGTCGTTACTATTGTCAATTGGTTAGCGGGTTCCTTACCCAGAAGGTTTGTAAGAAAAGTAGTTCTTATCATATAGAATACATTTTAGAAAACGTCAACTGCTGTCCTCATCTATCCTTTTCATCGGTACTCTTCTGCTCGTGGCGAATATTCTTATCGGCTTCCTAAAGTTTTTGTTTTAACAAACGGTAGAACGAGTAGATCCAGGAGGTAATCCACTCCTCGGTATGACTGAGAACTCACATCATTTGAACGTATCTCCCCTAATTATCGTATTATTTGCCTACATATGGTCTCTGAGAGTCTTAAACGATCTTACTAAAAAGGAATATTTATCGTCATTACTTAGTCTGAAGATTTGTGAGAACCATCAGTTCTCCTATCTTCAACCATCATTCCAATCTAGTTGAAATCTTTCTATGCCATGTTGTATAGTAGACAGAGGCAATATAATTAGCATAGCACCGCATATTAGCCAAACTGAGATCTTTCTCCTCGTGTATATCAGTAATTTTTGAAATTGTTTAGTCCTCACTTAATAAGTCAGCTGATTGTGATAATATCAATTAGTTTCCCTCCGTAATATTGTTTTTACAATGAGTCGTATGCCTTTCGGGTAATTAATGGTGATGAGGTAATTCTTGTGCAAAATTTTTTTGGAACGTGGTAACTTGAACATAAACTTTTTTATTTTTTCATATTGAATTGTCTTCTCAAGACGCAACAAAAACAGATTGAAGCTGAAGTCATGAAATCAAATTTTCAAACATCCTCTTTCCTTACCTATGAGCCCGAAGCTAGGGAATATGATAATTGTCAATAGAACAATGAGTGGGGCCCTGCCTACGCTGAGGTCGATCTTCTCGGGATATTCCTCTGTTGGAGGAATCAGCAGATTATATTCTTCTTCTCTCTGGAAAAGGAAGAGAATGTCTCTAAAAAGAGATGAGCAAAACTTTTTCAACGCAAAGCTGGGCTGTTTCGTTTCCACATAGTATTTGTAGAACGTCAGTGGGCAGTTCATCGAGCTTTACAGAACAACTACAGGGACGGAAACACGACTGGTATTTTAAAATCTGAAAACGAAGAGATATCATCAGAATATCGTAGGGTGGTAACCTTGTCATAAGTGAAAAAGCATCCTGGTCCTGAATCAAGTATTGCGAAAGCTACACGGTTAAAGAAGCTCTTTTTAAGTTTCTGCAAATTGGGCTTCAGAAGCCTTTGCATATCCAAACAGTAGTTTCTACAAAGGAATTACTATGAGTTTGAAGACAGACACACCTATTCAGTAAGTAGCCCTGGCCATCCATGAAGTGGTTGAACGTTCCGTTGCCAGAGTAATAGAATTTTGTGAAAAGAAATTTGAATAAAAACTTGGTGGATGCGTCTCGAGCCTTTATCATTGTTTCTAAGACCTGTAAACCGTTCATATATCAGAGAAATTACAAAAGGTAACTTCTGGCCAAGGCATACAAGATCCTCCAGTGATTGTTGTTGTCCTTTTTCCGTAATACTGCATTCTCTGAATTTTCTTCGTGTTTCTGGTGAAGTCTGGAGGGAGATCTGGCCAACACCTGTAAACTTTAAGCATTAAGAAAATTGAACTTCTTCATACTGTATCGTCTCATCTTCACACGAGGGAAAACATGGTTCCCATAACTGATGACCGACTTCCGGGTGCATATTAACAAGTGCAAATTTGGAATATTGGTTGTAACCTCGACCATCCTTGATATACCTGTATACGGTAATTGCAGTGTACACATAACTGTAAGCAGACTTGAGAACGGTTGTTGATAAGTTTCCTTTCACTGTAGTCCATGGACCCAAAATTTGTGTTTGAGCTCCTGTTTGATAACATCTGAACAGTAACATGGGTATGACTCATGCCAATGATAGCTTATCATTACTCCTACCTCTTGCGAGTAGACAATATATGTCCACGAGTATATCCTCTAGCATGAGGTATTCCCAATGGACCAACTGAAGCAATGCATTATGAAGAGATCAAAGAAGAAAATTTAAAAAAAAACTTTTAATTGCTGAAGTCGCATGCGGAATCTGATTCATGATATGAGCAACATCCAAAATATCCATCAAGTCTTTAGGAAATCAATTTCATATTCCAACAGAGAATGAAAAATTAATTTACCTATTACTTTATTATGTTTTTCAATTGATATTCTATCAACTAATTTCAACGGGAAATATTTTTCGTATTTGACAGCACGATGTAGCAGACGATATGGATAGTGGTTTTTCCGTAAACATAATTGATTTGAGAAAGAGGAGCATGGAGAAAAACATGAATTCCGTATTATCTATGAACATAATTATTTGAAAACATATGTGATTCTTCATTCCATCTCTTCCCTCTCTCTCTCTCTCTCTCTCTCTCTCTCTCTCTCTCTCTCTCTCTCTCTCTCTGCTCTACGAACCTCTTTCTTCAAACTTCGAACATAGCACCAAGGACCGAGTTCATGATTATCGGGATTGCGGCAGTAGTTAAAATGATCGCTTACAGACACAATGCTATTTCGAAGTGTATATAAGTGGGAGGGACTTTGAAAGCGATTGAAGTCGTCCGAAGAGTAATTAAGCGACTTTATGGAATCCCATCGAAGACATGGCTGCTTCCTCAAAATTATTTTTTTCATTCTTCACATTTGCTTTGTTTTTCATTCATTTTTTTTCGTATCATCAGATATAGATACAGCTTTCTGCCTCGAAATCTATGCTATGATGAACTTGGCTTACCTTACTGTAACAGCTTGTTTCCCTCTATACCAGCCCATACGGTCGTTGTATGGTCGACATACAATTCGTGTATCTTGTACAGCCGAAGATCGCTTCATATTTACATTTGTAAAGCGTGTTGTATTCAATCTGAATTTGAAGGATTGCATTTTTCGTCGACTCCAAAACGAAATACCTTCGAATGGCACAATGAGGATGTGCTAGTTTAGAAGGAGCGACTCCCATTCGCGTACAGTTTTCTTTTTGTATTACTTCCTAATTATTTTGATGTAAATTATGTTTTCGTGTTAATCAATAGATAGAGAAGCTCTGATTACTTTTGAATGATACATCTCGTACGTATGCCAACAACTCTTTGTACACATGAAGCTTCTATGATTGTACCACATCTTGCTCTCTTTAACAAGTTCCAAATGTCATAATCACATTCCAAACAATCATACCGTCAAACACTTCTTCTGGCATATTAGAGGTTTTCGAACTTCCATGACATATTAGATTTCCATAAATTAGTATTATTATACGGACATCCATCTTGTATGATATATATCAAATGTCATCAACGAATGCTTCATCTCGTAAACTCACAACACCTCCAAAAAACAAAACCTGCAGATCTAAGTCCTACTGTACCTAAAGTCTACCTAATTACCATAACTTCAGAATTTCCAACAAACAAAACAAGATACACAAGGTGAGGTAATACCTGGTACTATTACAAGTAACATCTAGTCAGAGTCCTCATTTCATAGATCGCTCGATCTTTCAAATTTTCTATTTTTTGGATTTTGAGGGATCAGGGATGGTCGTAGATATGTCAGATCAATGATGTGTTTGTGAAGTGATCATGAAGAGAGGGTGTACATGTTCGATCTAATAGAGATAGGTTCAGGATAATGTTACAGGTTGTGCGGGGCAAATTGTTCTAAGATGTGGTGCTTCATGTAGAAGCTCGGCTGATGAACATGATGCGTCAGCAGAGAGGTGATATAGAAGGCAGTCTCTGTACTGCTACGACTTACTGACAACTCCTTCTCAGCACCGAAAACCTGAAGTCTTCCTAAAGTTCTCTTTGTAAGTATAAAGGAGGAGTTCTTGTGCAACAATGAGCTAGGGTCTGGTGTCAGTGCTTCATACATTATGTGTTAATCTGCAAAAGATTAAAGTCGGGATAGCCAGGTGGCTCAAACATTTCGGGCACTTTGCTATAATTGAGAGTAAATTCCTTCCAATTGTTCTCCTGAATTCGGAAAAGCATTTGTTGATGACATATATTGGATTATTTCCTCATTATCCAACCTGTCGTAGCTTTCATTCTAGCAGTTTCATTCGCAATTTTCGGCAAATTCGTCTTTTCAGTTTTGGAATTCATTTCATTTCCGCTTTTCAGCATTTTTGACGGAACGCCTGCTTAGGAAAAAAAATTTGCAATTGTTTCATTTTCTCATCTGAATTCTATTCAAGACGCTGTATCACCTCTCTTTTCATGCATCAGAGAGTTCTCATTAGGTCCCTTCACAGTTCGTTGTTTATTCATCTTCAAGTTTGTGTTCTGATTTTCTTCTAACATTTTTCGTTGAACGCTCGCTTTTGGGTTTTCAGCTGCCTCTTTTTGTTCAATATTAGAGATTATTATTTAAAAAAACCATAGATAACAGACGTCGACATAGCAGTCTGATATTCTATCAAATGAATTCAGCGTCAGATTCTGTTCTACGTGAAGTTCACGTCGATCAAAAGACGTAAATATTCAAACTTCATCTGAATCTCTAGGCGCAATCATGAGCGGTTGTACATGCATACACACGCGCACACAAGAGACATACACGTGTAAGACAGAAGTGAGCAGAGAGCATCAATATGTATCTCATCCAATTACTGCAATAACCTTTCAAACTCATTATTTATCAGAAAAAAATAATTCCAAATTCTAGAAAATTCTTTGATAATTTGCATAATGATCATTCGTTGATAAAATCGCTCAAGGATTTGTTGCGAAGCTTCAGCATGCAAGTTTACGTGAGTTCCTTATGTATACACAACACACCGTTGTCAATGTTGCCATCTGAAACCATCTACATACAAATTCCTCTTCATCATTCTGGTCCGGTTCTTCTCTCAAAATAACAAAAACGTAGAGACGAAATTTCGGTGCTTTTTTTGTTTGTTTTTATTTTTCTCAATTAATTCGATAAATGAAAGTTTTGAAAGATATTTATTTGCGTGTATAACATTGAATGAATGAATACATGTGCCTTGCAAAGCTTTCGTTACCATGACCACATGATTTAAAGCTCAAAATGAGTGAAAATGAGTAGAGAGAGAATGCAAGAAAGATGAAAATAACATTCATCTAGAAGAGATTATCCATAAGGCAGAGAGTCAAGCCGAATACATGAAGGAGGTAGGCCTTGGCCAATTACGGAAAGCAAACCTTCATAGACATGTAGTCAGATCATTGGCTCAGCAACTAATGACAATTTCTTTCAGTTGCCTCTCTCTCTCTCTGTCTCTCTCTTTCTCTCAAACTGTTTCTCTACCTCTCTCGCTTTTACCTATCACCAGCTCTATCTATCTCTACATTCCTTCCCTCATTCACCTCTACTCTCTCTTCCTCTCTATCTTTCCCTCCGTCTCTCTCTTCCTATCTCTATTTTGGGAATATTTTAGAATATTAAAAGAGAAGTATATTCGATACTTAAATTAAAAAGTGATTAAGCCAATGTTATAGAATTCGAGAAATGATCGAATGAACCAATCTACTAGTGCTGCAAAGATTTTTTTGATTAAAATTCTCCAAAAATGAATTGAACTCTTCTTCCGCTCATTCTCAATACCCGTATCTCCAATCCTCTTTCAGTTTCTCTCTCTCTTACTCTCCCACTCGTTCTCTACCTTCGTTTCTATTTTCTTCGTAGATTTAATTATGTGTTTGAAGGTGTTTTCCGTTTTTTTTTGAAAAAACTAAAAATAACATTTTAAAGTAAAAATGGACAAGATGGATGGAAATGCTTCTTCTGATCTGGTCGCTCGATGGAGTGTCCCATTACAGGATAAAGTTATCAGCTAACTGATTACATTATATAAATCAGAGCTTTAGATTCATCGAATAGAATTCGAACACGGAACAACTACAGGAAAACGTATCATTCGTGTTGATGGCAAGGTTTGTCATAAGTTCTCACAGCTCTCGTTGGACTTCAATATCTTGCTATCTAGGAAGTCTTACGTCATGATTGGATGTTCAAATTAGTTGGAAAAGAAGCTTTCACTATTGGAAGTATGAAATGTGTGATTGGTGTTGAAGCTTTGGGAACATTTGCTTACGAATATAGTCTTGAGGTTCGTTTTTGTGTTCTTTTTTTCAGAGCTCTTTCGGCTCTTCAAGCTTCATTCTTCTCTACTCAGGGGTTTCTGAGAGCTTTTGCTTAATTGTCTTTATTTGTGAGCTTCTTGTTGTTGATCCCATTTTGAAGCTTTGAAGAACTAATTGATTAACACTAGATTTCAGCTCCTTTAATCTATTTTTGTCTTTTCAAACATAAACTTTCAATCGTTCTTTGAGCTTCACACATGCTCTTACAGGTTAATGGAAAACCTTTTGAAAAGTTCCGCGAAGAGCAGAGCAAGAAGCTCCAAAGTTGGGAAACGCATATCAATGGCGATGACACGCGGATCGTCTTAGGTGCGACAATGGGCTTCTTCATATAGTTTACAAATGATTTTTGTAGATAAAGATACTATGGAAGTATGGGTGAATGGACAGAAGATTGACACCGCGGTAATAACATTCGAAGAACATTCAAAGTAGAATCATGACTTCAGGGTGAATTCGTTGATGATGGAACGGAAACTCACTTTGAGATCGGAAGACACTTATGTAAGATTCGATCGGTGAGTCAATGAAAGTCACATTTGATAGTGAATATGATAATACTAATTAAGGTGAGTAGTGGAAAGAAGAAAGTTGGCGTTGTTCACACATTCTACGTAGATGGAGTTCCTCAAGTATGTGCTGAGTATGGCACTGATGCTGGTCCATCCATCAATTGAAATAAAGTGATATACTTTTCCATATATTTAGTTTTCTTATTATTATTATTTTATTTTTTTATTGTATCAGGAATGAATTATTTTTTCTTGCTTAAACAAATTTTCAGATAATATTCTAACGAACAAGATTCCTTGAATATGAAAGTTACTTGCACCGTAGCTGATTGCGGTTATACAGTTATGTACTATAACGCTGATTACAAAGATTATAAAACCGTTGATACATTGCTTCTGACGGTTGTCATACTTCTCAAAGAGCCAGATCTTGTTGTCGAATACCTACGGATCTCCTGCAGCTGTATTTTTCGAAAATATGTTTCTTTCTCTCTCTCAAAAGAATCCATAAAGGAGTATGTTTTCTTAACATACTATGTTCGTTCTTGTGGTCAGTTGAAGGAGAATCTCATTCTGATCTCCGCCCCTTGTTCGTTGCCATAGGCACTATTGAATTCCTTCTAAGCATTTCTCTCTCTTTGTTAAGTTCTCTGTTTTCTTCTTTCTCTCTCTCTCTCTCTCTCTCTCTCTCTCTCTCTTACCCTCTTTCTTTCTCGCTGTTTCTCTCTCTCTTAATTTTGCAGTTATACAATGGGTTCATTCACACTATCTTTCTCTACATCTCTTGCACCTCCTCATCTATGTATTCTCTCTCCCTTCCCTCCTCCCTCTTTAAATGATTCGTTTACCTTCATGTTCCTGAATAGATTTCCCTCTTTATTTTTCTTTATTTTTTCTTTAAAAGGTTAACCGCACCTCTATGCCCTCTCTCTCTCTTGTAACCTTCTCTGTCTCAGCTACTCCTTTATTCTATTCGCTTTATGCTCTTTGTCTTTTTTCTCTCATTATCTTTTCATATTCTCGTATTGTAGTTCAAGCTTATTATGAGGCCAAATTATAGGAAGGTCTCGTGTCACTGACTGCGAATGAGTTTCGTGTTCAGTTTGCAATTTCTGACATGAGAACGTAAGCAAATGATCTTCAGATATTTTATTTTCTTGACGTCAGTTTAGAAAAAAAAGAATTGCACAATGAAATTGAAGCTTCAAAACGGATGTCGGAGGTGTTCGCCAAAAAAAGCTAATGAAATTGAATTTCCAATTAAACTTAACTTGATAGAAATTAAAAGAGGAAAGCTCTGTCGGTTCTACTGCTGCTGCTGCTGCTGCTGCTGCAACTAAGATTGCAAAATGAACTTTCTTCAGCTCAAGCTGCTTTTCAATTCGTTCCTGATAATTCTGCTTGGAATAGTTGCAAGGTGGAAGTCTCAGCTGGTTGACCACCTAGTTCCGCCCTCAGACTATTCCAGGAGGCAACATAGTCAGGCAGCCATCCATAGCAGTTTGAACTAGCCCTATAGGCTATTCAATTGAAAGCCATGAGAGGAGAGTGAGAGAGAGAACATAAGAGAAAAAGAAAAAAAGGAGGAGAGTCAAAGAAGGGGAGGGAAAGGGTGGTTTGGAGGGGGAGACATAAGGCGCTCGTCGGTCCGTCCGTCCATTTGGGTCCAATAGCAGCCTCTGTGGTTGGCTGGTATGGGTGTTGAGAAGCTCTTTTTTCAATTCTCTCTCTATCTCTCTCTCTCTATCTTTCTCTCTCTATCTCTCTTCCCTTCTCTCTCCCTTCTTCTTGTTAACTAATAACATATAGTATAAAGAAAAAATTCTCAAGTATGAAATATAGTTTTTGAATATATTTTTTGCTTCATAAGCTGACCAATTAGAATATTTTTGCGTGAATAGTCCTCACGTGAAGTAAACTATCATTTTATGTAAATGCAGAGCTCGTTGATCGGTTGTTTTCTTCTTATTTTTCTTTTGAGCTTTTCCTCCCTCTATCTTTCTTCTCTCTTTGCATTTCTCTCTCTCTTTCAGTCTTACTTTCCACTCTTTTATACTTTCCGAACTATTTTCTTAATATTCGTATTCATATATATTCAGACAAAAAAAAAGAATAATTGTAATCAAATTATCTTCAACAGCATTCCAAGAGTTGACAAGCTTTGTTCCCATCCCCTCAGGCGTTGTTACAAAATGTTTCGATCACGGTCCAGTTCTATAACTTCGATTCATGGCCGGTCCAGTCGCAAAGGTAACAATTTTCAATTTTTAACTCTTCCACTTTCCATTTGATGTACATGCGTACATGTGTGTTGTCATTCATCTTCCTGATTTCTCTTCTTGCTATTTCTCTTCTCCTCATATATTATCGTTGTGAACGATTACTATTTGCAAAAAGAGAATATGTGTTTTGTTGAGATGAAGAGCAAGAAGAGTATCATTGTTCTGTTCTTTACTATACTAACTATACAACTGAGATTATCATATGATTAAGGTATATCATTGGATCGTAACAATAATCATATACGAATTGATCGTCAAACTCGTCTCGTGCATAACACCTCTAAACATGTAAATGAAGGATTTTTTGGAGTAAGTTTTCTATTTTTCTATGAATTCAGCTTCACTGCTGCAACCCAGCTTCTTCTTCTTCTTCTTCTTCCTCTTCTTCTTTTCCTGCTTCTTCTATATTATTATTATTTATTTCATTTAGCTTTATTCTCATTCTTGCTTTCATGCGACGGAATAAAATCTAAAAAAAAAGAGAGAAAAAGATAATTGCTTATTAGGGAGAGCAAGATGAGATTGTATAGAGAGAGAGAGATATGAAGAGAATGAGAGTCTAAAGAGAGAAGAAGAGAAGGAAAACTGAAATTTTAATGAAAATTCGTAGACAAACACACTTTTCTTTTATATTTTTTTATTTTAATTATTTCCACAGAGACAAGCTATTCAGATACAGAGAGAGAGGGAGAGACAGTGAGAGGGGAATCAAACAAAAAAAAATTCAAATTTAGCACATTCAGAAAGTCCGCTCAGAGTTCATCCGTCCTGCTATGATGATGATGATGACGAGGCGAGGACGAAAAACGAAATTATAATTGTACATTCTTTTTAAATAGCCCTGAGGGCATATTGTACTTTTACTTCGTATAGCTCCTTATATGAGAAAGTAACAAAATAATTCAGTTGGAATTCCTACTTTCGTCATCGTTTCTCTCCACAATCCACACTTCCGGTCATTTTTGGCTGGGCACACTGAAAACTAAAAATTGGAAGAAAAAAATAGGAAAAATCAAGAAGGAGAATAACATAGAGAGAGAGAGAGAAAATAGAAAAAGTGAGGAAAAAGAGAGAGAGAGAGAGTGAGAGAGGGAGGAAGGCAGAGAGAGATGTCGTCTAAAACTTCTTTTTGTGATGAAATGGCCGGAAAAGTCACGTTGTACGGCGAATACATGCTATACTAACTTTGAAGTTGGTATGAGCTTAGTTCTGAGTCGGTAAGAAAATTAAACAAAAATTAAGAATTTAGTCATCGGTAGAGTAATTAACCATGTGTGAAGTTACTATTTACTTTCAATTAATGTTTGATTCTGTTCTCGTTCAATGAAATTGAAGCTTCGAAGTCAATGAGGCAGGTCGTGTCATCGAATGTCTTGTACGAGCAGCGGCTTGATTGATGAACGTCTATTCGTTATAATAATAATAATAATAAAGAAAATATTTCAAAATTTTTTGTGTTAATAACAAAACTGTGCTTATAGAGAGAGAGAAAGAGAGAGTGTGAGATATATAGATAGAGAGATAGAGAAAGTGAAAAGGATAATTTCTATTTCATTGCAGGCGTCCGAGAATATCCGGGTCGTTAATGCTCGAAGCTGTTTGGAACGAAGTTATGAGATTGGGCCATTAGTTGGTCAAGGAAACTTTTCCAGAGTATACTTTGCTCTTCGAAGGAAAGACGACAAGAAATGTGCTTTAAAGGTGAGATTTATTATTATTTTCTTTTTTTCTATCTGAAGCTAAGCAGGGTGGAAGGGAAAGTTCAGAAGAATAGAATATAATAATAAGAATGAAAAAGTAATAAAGCAGAAGTGAAGTATGACAAAGAAGGTCTGCTGACCGGATGTAGAGTTTTGTAGATCAAAGAAGTAAATCAAGACGGACAGGGAGGGGAAGAGAGAGAGAGAGAACGGAGCGACAGAAGAAGGTGAACGTTATAGGCAGGTGCTTCTGAATGATGGGTTAAGGAAGGAAAGAGGTAAGTAAAGCCATAATGAAACGACATGGAGGTGAAATCCTTGAAGAGCACGATGGAAGCCCTCGTGAGAGGTTGCAGAAAACTATTCGTAGAGAAAACCTTGCAAGAAGGAGATCGTAGTGGCAAGAAGAGAGAAAAAAGCTCGCAGAGGTAGTCCATCATTCCCATCTATAAAGAGTTTCAAAAGCTTTTCGATTGTCCACTTTTGAAGTTTATGTCTCGTAAAGTCAAAATAATTTGGTGTTGAAAAAGGAAGTCTCCATTGTCCATTTAAAGTTTTTAAATAAGCAATGAGTTATGGGGAAGTAGCGTTTTCCTTTATACTCTCTCTTTGCATGTTGTTTTTTGAGAGAGGGGGAGGAAGGTAGTCAGCCAGGGAGGGAGTGTGGAAGAGGGACAACACAAACTATATGAAAAGATGTAAAATAAATAAAAATAAATTTATAGGAAATCGATAAAACTCAATTACGAGGCAAATGGTTTTTTGTGGAGAATGAAGTCGAAATAATGGAGATGTGTAATCATGAGAATATTGCTCAACTAGTGGATGCTTTCAAGACTTCACACAAATACTTTTTAATATTCGATTATGCCCAGGTGATTAACTATCAGACCGTTTATCATATAGTTATCATTTGAATTTCAGAACGGAGATTTATTTGAAGCTATACGAGTACGTGGAAAGCTTGGTGAACAGGAATCAGCCAGCATCATATCACAGGTGTGTTGTAGTCGAGTTAACCATGTCCTATGCTTCACACAATTCGTGATGCTTCATTCTATATTCATAACATCCTTGTGTACTACATGAGAAATGCAGAGATCATCACTAAGCATCAACAGCTTTTGTGTTATCTGCTCCTAGGTTCGTGACATGCATATCTACTTCTTATGTATGATTGAACCTATATTACAACCTTGATGTTATGAATTCCTTCAATGGAATGCGATGTTTCAAATTCCTTTTCATCACTTCGAGAAAGCTATCTTTGAATATTACAGACGGCGTCAGCATTAGCTTATTTGCATTCACGCAAGATTGTACATCGTGATGTTAAGCCAGAGAATCTGCTGCTACATTCCAATTGGCACATACGATTGTGTGACTTTGGGCTAGCGTGTACAGTGCTCGGCCCACTCTTCCGGGTGTGTGGAACTCCAACCTATTGTGCTCCTGAGATTCTTCGTGAATGTGGTAAATTGAATACTTTTTTTTGTTTCAAATAACCCCTCAACTAATAAGGCTATGGGACGGCTGTCGATGTGTGGTCGATGGGAATCTTACTTCATGTGATGCTATTCGGATATGCGCCTTTTCGGTCTTCTGATCGAAACCGATTATTCCGTTTGATTATGCAGGGACGTCTTCACTTCGACTTACCTGAAGGCCGTAAGCTCAGTACACGTCAGTTTTGTCTTTACCTCATCTAACAAACATGTTTTTGATCTTCAGGTGCTCGTGACATTATCGGACGAATGATTAATGTGCGACCAGAGAAACGACCGAAAGCCGCCGAAATACCATTGCATCCATGGATCGTCCAGCATTGCTCTGATTCAGATGATAGCTTGACCATCACAAAACAAATGAATGCTATTAACTTAGATTTTGAAGAGTAAAAAGTGAGAGAGAAAGAAAAAGAAAAAGAGAGCATGACAGATAGGAGAAGGAGAAAGCATCCTCACTCATACATCATCAGAACCATCTGACTGTAATTGTTCTACTGTCATGTGAATTTTTATCTTTTGCGCTCTGTCATCGGCTCTCCTTTCATCTATTGCCTTCATGAAACATCCCAGCAAAAGAGTTTTTTCTTCCTATATTTGTTTTCTTTGAATGTCAAAAAAATGTTTTCCTTTTCTAATTTGTTTCAATGCCATTTCTTCGAAACAACATATTGTCTTTCTTGAATTCTGTTTCTTCATCTTCATTACTGCATGTCATCAACAGGGTTTCTTGTGTTTCTCTACTTTCAACACAAACTTCTACTTAATAAATATATTTGAAACTGTTTCACATTTGATATTTGATCTGATAATTGATCTAACAGCCAACATTCTAGTCTCCTCTGGGTGCATATTGACTTTGATCGCATAAATCATCCTGCATTATATAGGCTGTAGCTACACATGAGCCTATAACTATTTCAACATGATTATTCACTGGCATGCGTGTTGAAGATTGATACATGATATCATGCATAATCTAACTAATACTGTAGTCCAAACAGTTTCGGATGCACATCAATTCTGGTCACACTAATCATGCAGTATGATATACGGAGCTCATAGTGTACTAGTAAAATTAATCTCATCTCTCGGACAGTCACCAGTACCCTCTAATTCCAACAGTATACATAAATTTCATAGATGAACACCGACTTGGCATCTAATCGACTTATGTTGATCCAAGTAGAGCTCACTCGATGTAAAGTCAACTTTTTTGTATTTTTGATAATTTGGCTGCTAGCCAAGTGGATGAAATTGAGTGTTCAAGTATTACATATGTCTTAGCCAGCTTTATAATGACTAAACCTTTGGGCGCAAGTCGACTATGACGACGGCGTTCATACTGTATTACATATGGAGCTATGTCTATAGATCCATCACAATGAAGTTTCAAGCTCAATCTGAACATGTTGTAAAACCATTTATAATGAGATGAGGGACAAAGAAATTTACAAATTGGGAAGGGGGGGGGCAAGTGAATAAAATAATTTTCAGCTACTTTACAATGTTCTATGTAAGAATTGGAATAAATAAGCATACAAATAAACATTTTTTTAAAGGCCAACTTGTTTACGAATCAAGGCAGCCACAAGCTTGTAAGGTCTCTGCTCATATTCAACATATTGCTCATGCTCTATCTTTACTTGATCTCCATTCATACGGTTCAACAATGCTACACATACTATTGAAGCTGAAAAATATGATTGTGGTTAGAAAAGAGCATAATGCATTCGTTGTGTGTTACCCTTGACTCCGGCGCGGAATGTTAACGACGAAAAGCATGTGCTTTCCATTTCAATATTACGAACTCCTTTCTCATAAATTGTCTTCAGGAAGTCAAATTTATCTTCAGAATTGTATTCACAGAAGAAGCCATCAAGTCTCATTTGTCCTATACCATTCAGATTGTATGAAAACACACTCAGATAGTCGACTACTTACCCTCATAGAAGTCATCGGTACATAAGGTCTTTCCAGTGGTGGCTGGGATATCTAAGTCTTTAGCCAAGTCCAACAGATCAGAGCATAATTGAGGATCAAGGTGAGTATCACGTACAACCTGAAGGCAGTTGCTTGTTGAGATTTCTCCCCCGTCATCATCTTTCTTACTCTTTTGCCGGCAACCCATTGTACGAAGCCATCTTCCAATTCTCCATTCATAGCAGCAGAAGTGACAACCACAGTTCCTGGCTCAACTCCAACTCCTCCAGACGTTCCAAGACGAATAAATCTTAAATGACAGAAGATTTCAATTGTATCATCTGAATTAGTTTACTTGACATCCTGAGCCTTAGCGTGATGCATTAATTTGAGTGATTCAACGAGCATAATACTCAAAGATGGAGTTCCCATTCCATGCTGTAATGTATTGAAAAATGATTTTTTTTCTGCAGAGGCTCATTTTTTTTATCTCTTGTGAAGTTTTATTCGCATATAGACTTCTCTTGAAACGTACTCAATACGGTTTAAGCGATGAACCTTTTTCAGTAATTTTCACTGTTCTCTCTCTGCACACTTTGCTTGTTTTGAAAAGCTTACATTTATCCAGCAGACGGGTCCTGTCTTGTAAATGCAGAAACGATCGGAACGAGACAAATTCTCGGAACACTCAATTCCACATTCTTTGGCGAACCAATCAGCATAAAGCTTGAAGCGGGATGGAGAGCCACCAGTACAAACGAACTGTTGAAGAATTAATGAGGAAAGAGCAATGATATAATGAAAAACCTTAGTATCTCCGAAAACAGCTGGAATATCGACTGTCTTGATTCCGAATCCGAAATGATAAAGGAAATCGTCTTCAACGTTTTCCAGATATTTGTTTCGTAAAGCAAAGGTTGGATCAGCTGCCATAGTTAAGCTAGAAATCGAAAGATTAATGAACATGAAAGGAGATAAAGATTGAATGCGATATATAGAAAGTGAAGAGTATGAAAAGGAGAGAATGAGATAGAGAGAGAGAGAGAGAGAGAGTGAGAGAGAAAAAATCAGATTGTTGAAGAGAGTGAAAGCTCTTAAGGGGGTGGATGAAAGGCAATGGCAAAGTTGGAAAGTTTCTTATCATTTGCTACTTCCTTTTATAATCAAACGAATTCAATAATGTTGTAAATGATATTACATCATTGAATTCAATTGTTAAAGCTGAAAATGATGATTAGTACCTTTTACAGCTTTTCTTATGTCAGCTTCTGCTTATTTTAAGAGAAAAATTAATGGGAGTCATCCCTCTAATTTGATAATGAAAACGAATTTGATGATAAAAATGATAAAAGAGATTGAAAATCTTAAATAAAAGTATAAAAAAACGATTCTCTGCACAAAGAGAGAGAAAGAGATAGAGAGGGAGGGAGGATGAATGCGATTGAGAGAGAGAGAGAGCAAGGAGAAGCTGAATGCTCACTAGCGCAATTGCCCATATTCACATACACATACAGAGACATACACAACATGAAAGTGCAAAAAGAACATTTGAGAGTTGGCTAAGCATTTGCTATGGATCGATGAGAGACTGGCGAGTTCTTGGATACCCCCTTAGAAGGAAATTGCTTGTGGCAATTCGAAAGCGAACAAGCGAAAGATAACACAAAAATATGAGATGAAGACGAGGAGAGAGATAGGAGGAGCTAGGGAGAGAGAGAAAGAGAGAGTTTCATGTGCTTTAAAGCTTTTCCATGCCACGTGTTCGTATTTATGTTGAATTTTCATTTATGAAAAGAAAAGTTGGTAGAAGAACAAAATATTTTGTATATATCGCAGATGATAGACAGACATAGAGAGAAATGATTGACAAAAGGCATTTCTTATTCGAGATTTCATATAAGCTGCAAGATGATAGAGAAGCTTAAAAACTATTTGCTTATAGTTAAGCAAAGATTGGAACCTAATTAAATAATAAAAAAGAGTTTCATAAAAAGAAAGAGAGAGAGAGAGAGTGGGGAAGAGAGGGAGAAGGTTAACTATATGCTCGCTATACAGAGATTCTGAAACATCAAGCTGGAGATGGAGAAGAAAAGACCATTTCCAAGAACTGTGGAAATGAGCGAGCGGTACAGAGAGAATGAGAGAGAGAACACCAAAATGCCTTCTGAGATTACAACAATGAAAAGCCCGACTAGAGAGAGAATTGTGAAATTCAAAAAAAAAAACTTTTCTCTCCTACCAAACTGTCAGATGAAGCTGTAAATGAAAAGAAGTTCACCGTTAGACAATGATAAGATGGAATATACTTCATTAAGCTTTTTCACCCTGGGGGCAATTAAAAAGAAAAAAAAATTGGGTGTGAAAGGTTCGAATACTACCGATAGTGGATGGTAGTTGCCATTCACATCGTCCTTTTTTCAATCCAAATGTCATTTATCATTATCTTATCTATGCTATTTCTAAAAAAAGACATTTCAAAAATATATTAAAGCAATCTTAAAATACAAAGCGAATCCAGCTTCTTCACCTTCACACGATCAAGCAGAAAAGATTTTTCTCACACCAAGTGTTTCTAGTTTGATGGTATGAAAGAGCTTGAACGGTTAGCGTGCCATTCAGCCATATGCACAGTCACAACCTCACATCACACACACACACATACAGAATGAACAGTCTTCTGAGAAATCAGAAGGACGAATGAGAAATCAGTTTGTCCATCTTTCACCTCAACACACGCCTCTTGCCCATCTTAACGTCCATTCAGTGGGGTGTCGTCAAAGACATTTCTCCGCCCTTTCTCTACACCTCTCTCTCGTCCACCTCTTGCATGAACGATGATAAATGATGATGGAGTGAGAGATCCATCTGATAATACATTTTTTTGTATTTTGTCTCTTTTTTTTTCAACAAAAAAAACATTTTCGTTTCAGATTCATACATATCACGTGGTATTGAAAGTATAATGGTTATAGGAGAACTGTATGGGGTGGAGGACGAAGAGGACGGAAGAGGAGGAAGTAAAAGAGAAAAGCTAGAAGAACGACAGGCAGGAAAGATGATGCTCTTCATCTGAAAGCTCACGTGGCTTCATGTGACCTAGCTGAAGTAGATATGAGTTCATCGCAATTATAAAAGCATCAAAAGGTTATGAATCGTCGATTGACGTCATTGAAGAGACGTTTGAGCAAACTTTCCGGAAAAAACTGAATTGAAGACGACATCTGAATCTTCTTCTCTTTCAATATTTTTTTTGTTTCATCTGCTTACTTTTCACAGCAAATAGATGACGATAGAATATGAATGGAAATATTTATTTTTCACTTTCTTAACGGAATATGTTGTGTTTGACCTTTTGTACTCTCAAATCAAAATGCTTCTGATAAGTTCAGAATGGCTGTTCATGCTACGTCCTCATCTTCCGAAAGTACATAGGAATCAGATTTCTGCCATTGTTTGCATGAAGTAGAGAAATGAAACTTTTCAATGGCTCTAACGTTAGCTGAAAAAAGAAACGTCTGCAACTCGATTACTAGTGGTAGCCAGCATGCTAAGCTTATCCGCAGCTCTGGACTTTGAAATTGAAAATCAGAATCAGCCTACGAACTCATCGTCGCAATCTCTTTCAAGATTATGATTTTTGATGAATTTATTTTTATTTTCTAAAATACAATGATTCTAAAATGATTTTTCTTGCATCAACATTCGGTTTCCGTCCATGTGCTATTCGGCCATTAGTTTTCAAAACAAAAAGAAAAAAAAAGTTTATTTTCCGGTTTGAAGTATGAGATTATCTTAATGATATGACGAAGTAAAGAGAAGAAAAAGATATGGAGAAAGAGAGAGGGAAAATAGAAAGAGGAAGAGATCCATAGAGAGAGAGAGGAACTTTTAGTTGATAAATGAAGAGAGGAAGAGAGAGAGAGAAAGATAGAATGAAATAGTAAAGGAAAGAACATTTTTCTAATGAAACTTTGATTTTTCATTTATAATGTAAAATGATTTATGAGAAAGAGAGAGAGGAAGAGAAAGAGAGAGAGAGAGAGACAGAGAGAGAAAGAAGCAGGGGGGGGGGGGGGGGGGGGGGGGGG